ATTTCAAAAATGCCTTTTCTCTCAAAAGTGTTGGGCAAAGCAGTTCTCAGTCAGATGCAGTCTTTCTTGAATATAAATTCTCTCTTTGAAGTATTTCAGTCTGGGTTTAGGGAGCATCACAGTACAGAATATGCACTTTTAAAGTGCCCCTATTATGGATTTTTGAAAATTACCTTTCATGCAGTGTGTAACACAGCTCTAAGTGAATGAAAATATCCTGCAAAGTTTTAAATCTGAAGGTGCACCGTGTATAAAGTTATTGTCTAAAAAAAATAAAAAAAATAAAAAAAAGTCAACTCCGAGTCACTGAAACGAGTCGTTTTTTTAAACGAATCTTTAGCGGTTTCATGCTGACGTCAACATGAAAAATTTGCATATTTATGCCCGCCCACTTGTTGCGTGCACAGACCCAGGAAAACTTGATGGGCGTTCGGTTTGCACGCAGTAGACCAATCACATCAGACTGGGTCATCGGACCAATCACTGCAGATTAGCGTCACGCAAAGGAGGGGTTTGGAAAAATGAATTGTTGAACAAATCTTTTGGGAGTCATTGAACAAATAAGGTAAAAATAAATGCATATTATAAGACAATGAAAATGTTTTTGACCTTGCATGCATGTCAACATGTTGTTGTGGACTCCCAAAACAAAAACATTTTCCTAACCCTAACCCAGGTTCTTAATGATGTTTTGTTAACTGTGGACTCTGGTAATGCTGCAGTTCTGGTGTTACTTGACCTTAGTGCAGCATTTGAAACCATAGACCATAACATTCATATTGCACGGCTTGAGCGATTGATAGGGTTTCAAGGTTCTGTTTTTAAATGGTTCAAGTCCTATTTAACAAAAATAAGTTGTTTAGTTGCCTTGGGTGAATTTAAATCATCGTTGGCTCCTCTTACATGTGGGATTCCACAAGGATCCATTTTGGGTCCTGTTTTGTTTTCATTATATATGCTTCCAATTGGGTCTATTAAAAAAACATGGCATATAATTTCACTGTTATGCTGATGACACACAGAAATATATGCCAGTAAAGAAGGAAAGTAGCTCACTAGGGCCTCTTCTTGCTTGTTTGAATTACAATTGTTTTGCATATGAATTAATCTAAAACTGAAATGAAACATTATTGTGTTTGCACCCCCAAATACATATGGGTCCCCTAAATTTGATTTAGGCCCTTTATCTATTCATGGCAAATCCATGGTAAAAGATGTAGGGGTACTTTTTGATGAGTCGTTAAAATTTGACAAACAGGTCAATGCTTTTGTCAGATCAGGCTTTTTTCAATTAAGAACACTGACAAATGTCAAGCCATTTTTGTCGTTTTATGATTTCAAGAGAGTGATGCATGCATTTGTGTCTTCACGTCTGGACTATTGTAATTCCCTGTATGTGGGGATTAGTCAGTCCAATAAAGTAAAAGTCACTTTACTGTGGTAAAA